TTAACTTCAGTTCAATTGTTATTTTCATACGATTGCCTTTGTTCCTCCAGCGTTGGCTAATTTGGTCTCCATTACCTTTCATCCAAAGTAGCCCTTGGCTGCAGTGGCTACATAAAATCAGGGGTGGAGAAACTGTGGCCACACAGATGCTGCCAGACTCCAGCTCCCAGCAGCCACAGCCAATGGTTGGGGTGATGGACATGGTAGCTCAGCAACAACCCAGAGAGCCACAGGTTCTCCACACCTAATGCTGGAGGCCAGAGTCTCTGCCCTGGTCCAGAGCAACAATATTCCTTGCATACGGATGTTGGAGAAGCAGGCGGTGGGGCCAGCATCTCTAGTTAGGGCTGGGAATGTCCCACCTGAAAGCCTGGAAAGCCACCAGGAGTCAGCGTAGGCAATACTGAGCGGACCAAGGGTCTGATTCAGTAGAAAGCAGCTTCCTATGGTACCTTCCATATGTTTTAGAGAGCAAAACTCCAATCCGCCTGGCTGGGGATGCTGGGAATTGTAGTCCAAAACATCTGGAGGCCCCAGATTGGCAAAGGCTGTGCTGTGTTATGGGCACAGCAGATAGGAAAGAGCCTCTCTGTCCGAGACCTTGGAAAGCCATTGCCAATCCGGGGGGACGGGGGGGAGACCCCAGGCAGGATAGTCTCATCTGGTATAAGGCAGATGAGACAGATTCCTGTATCTGTAACTCTCTGAACAGGACTGATGTCCAGAATTGTGCCTTCATTAATATTTAAATGAAGGTTGTGGAAAAGCAAATGGGATTACACAAAGGTTGTTTGTCTGATTGCTTTGCATTCAGACACCTCTTAAGATATTGCATCCAAAGTTTTGCAAGATGGTTCTTGAGATCAAGGAGCAGTTTTTTGGCTATGTTTGGATACAGTTGGGTGCCATTTTGTATCAAGATGGCAGACTGAACTGCACTGGTTTTAACCACTGTTTTCAAAGCTGCACTGATCTTTTTGGTTTCTTAGAATTCCTCGGCAATCTTTCAAAACAGAGGCCTTCCCTCTGTACAGGACAACACAATGGCCACCCTACCTCTGTCAACAGAAGCAAGATTGAAGGTTTGCTCTTTTGAGAAGAGAACAGAGGTGGCCAACAGATGCTCAGAGCCAGGATGTGACCTCAGAGGCTATAATACCTGAGACTGGAAGTAAAATTGCAGCAGAGGTGGAGCAGATGAGAGGGAAGCGCTTACACTCCTTCAGGGAAGTAGGGAGGAAAAACCCTCTTTAGCTTCTCATCAGCTCAGTTCAGTGGCCCAAATATTCCAAGGCAACAGGAGAATAGGCAAAATGCACAAGGTTAGCAACCAACTCTGGAAACGACCTGGAATCTGTAATGTAGGTAGGCACGCATTCTATAAAATGTCTTGGGGGCCCGGCATCTTGATTGGGATGATTGGCAGGTCTGTTGATTTCAGGGACAGGGGCTGATTGATGGCTGCTTTAGTTGCTGCCCTGGGCCTCTTCACAGCTCGCCGAGGTGAAATGTTCAGCCGAAGGATGGGAGCCTGTCCCCAGAGGGACATTCAGGACCTTTGGCCTTTTCCTACTCCTTGCTCACTGTTCAGAAGCTCCGACATCCACCATCACACACATCCCCGACTTGCCAGCCTAGAGCAATCATGCAGAGGAGAAGACGTTAAACATTACCTAAAGAAGGCTGGGGAAGTCTTAACCTGTTACTGGTTTTGCAGAGACGTTGGTATACAGTTATCACAGAGGCCCAACTAATCCACCCCTCAGACAGATTTACTTTTTCAGCTGCCTTTTAAGGTGACTCACAACATACCACACACACAAAATATTACAAGCATAAAATTGTATCCCAATGTAAGGACCAGGGATTAATAGATCAAACTATTTCTGGCCTGAGTGTGTTCCTAATACCTCATACCACACAATCCTGTGTGACTGGTCTGTTTTTTTAAAATATATATATATATGTGCATTTAAAAATATGTATTTTCAATGTGCAATATGCACATTAAATGCATTTGCCCCTAAACTATAATTTTTTGTGCATTTGGGTACATTTTTTTTAGTTAATAGCTGTATTGCAAAATTACGAGAAGTTCAAAAGTCCAAAGGATAATTATAACCCAGTTCATGTGAATTGAGAGTGAATTGTGAATTGTGTCACTCTGCTTAATAATGCGAACCAAATGAAATTCTTCTCCATCCCTAGCAAAAACACATCTAAAAATATACCAAAACAGGAGCAGAAGTATGAAACAGACCTCAGCTCATTCAAAAGCTGACTAGACTAGAAAAGTCTTTAGGGTTTCTTTAAAATCTAACAGAGAGGGGCAAGAGGATTTCAACGTGATGAGGCCTTTGCAGAAAAGGCCTTGTCCCTTGTAATCTCTAGTCTAGCAACTCTTGCTGAATGTATTAATGTATTAATTGTTAGTCCCATTTATACAGAAGAGGGGCAGAATTAATGTATTAATTGTTATTCCCATTTATACAGAAGAGGGGCAGAACGAAAGGAATTTTTTACTGTGAATTTCTATTCCTAGAGGCTCCTGAAGGACTTCACATTGTACAACCTTCCACTAGTGCTTTGAGTGGAATGGATGTTGCCAAGGCTGGCCACACACTAATCTCTTTGCAGCACAAAAATGTAGCTTTTCTCAATCCAGCGTCATTCAGCCTAGATCGATTCTAGATCCTTTGCTGTCCACAAAGGTGGGTTTGGTTACTTAATTATGTGTTTGAAAACCCTTCCCTTGTTTGGGTTATCTGCTGCTTTTCCTCTCTGCACATCCCCCAGAAGGCACTGGCATTGTGATCTTGGCATACTCACGCCTACAGCATCCTTGAGCAGGTGTGGATACACACACACAGAACCACCTACATCTGTTTTCAAATGGACACTCTATGGCAGTGATGGCCAAACTTGGCCCTCCAGCTGTTTTGTGACTACAACTCCCATCATCCCTAGCTAACAAGACCAGTGGCCAGGGATGGTGGGAATTGTAGTCCCAAAACAGCTGGAGCACCAAGTTTGGCCATCACTGCCCTATGGGTTAATGCAGAATCCATCTACAATGAGCTCCCCCCTCCCAACAACCCCATGAAACCAGTCTCAATAAGTGCTTTTCAGGGACACAAAATATGCAGCAAACCTAGATTGTGTGCAGACTATGTAAAAAACAACAAGGATGTGTTCTATGTTGATTCCTGAATAAAATGTTGTATGTCTGCAGCCAAAGACACCAAGTAGATCTCGGTGCCCCCTTCAGGGCTCCTGAAGGAGAGCAGGTCTTCCATCACCTCCTCCCCAAATAAGGCTGCATAGATGGGGATTTTACCAGGTTCGTTTTGGGGGAAGTGGTGTGCTTTCCCCACTGCTCTCACCCTGGGGATGCTGCACCAGATGTTCTTGATAAGGGCTTGTGATTCCTTTTAATTAATCACAGCTGTTCTCGTCTGTACTTGGCATTACGACTGCCGCATTGAGGTTGGGTAGGGGAGAAAAACATGGGAGAAGCTCCCCGAAAACAGGTGACAGGATCTGGTTTGGATAGCCTCAGTCCTCTTCCCACTGATGAAATAAGTGGGGAGAAGTTGGAACTTCACACACAAAACTCCAGTTTAGGTTGCTAACTCGTGACAAGCCCCACGCTTTTGGACATCGGATCTGTTAAATGCTTTGGGTAGAGGCTGGGGCTGAATCAGTCAAATTCAGTTTCTCGTTTTGCCAATCTTGAATTCAGTTCACAACATTTCTGCATCAGTTTGCAATTTATTTATTTTGAAAAGTCCTCATGAACATTTCATCAGCATTTTTAGTGTGCTTTTCTCTATTGGATTTAAAATTGTTTTTACATATGAAAGTGTTCTAAGTGCTTTTTAATTGTTATAATTATTTTTATATATGAAATTGTGTGTTGTTTTCATTGCTGGTTTGTTTGGGGGGGAATCAGTTGAGGTACTTTACAGGAAGCAATTCGTAAATGGAATAAAATAAATTTATTCAAATAAACCTATTATTGTATGCATTTTTGCCCTACACACACATTATTGCAAGTGATATCCACTAATATAAATCACTTTTATTCACCCTTCCCCCTAACAAACACATTTATAGACATGCTTTTAGGATGGAGAACTACACCAGAAAATTCAACAGAGGACAAATTTTCAAAGTCAAGCACATTTCAGCATGCACACTGTGGTGTGAATTAGTTAAAAAGGTAAAGGGACCCCTGACCATTAGGTCCAGTCATGACCGACTCTGGGGTTGCGGCACTCATCTCGCTTTATTGGCCGAGGGAGCCGGTGTACAGCTTCTGGGTCATGTGGCCAGCATGACTAAACCACTTCTGGCGAACCAGAGCAGCACACGGAAACGCCGTTTACCTTCCCGCCGGAGTGGTACCTATTTATCTACTTGCACTTTGACGTGCTTTCGAACTGCTAGGTTGGCAGGAGTGAATTAGTTAGGCTTGCATTAAAATATAAACTGGACTGAATTCCTCCCACAACGCTTTTTATCCTATTGCATACCACTTCAGTCTTTGTAAAATCAGTAACAACACCTGAAGGGAACAGCTTTCCCATCCCTGGTCTACGCTGACACACACACTGGCTCTCCATGGTTTCAGACAGGGAGTCCTTCCCACCCCTGTGCAGTTTGCTGACGCCTTTCCTCTGAAGGAGTTTGGCTACAAGCCAGAGCCGATCCAGTACCTGGAAACGGTGGGCTGGATAGAACTGGCGGCTGGTTTGCTCATGGCCTTTGGGCCTCAGCTGCTGCAGGAAATCAGCTATTTTGTGCTCACGATCGTCATGATAGGTAAGAGCTGTGCAGGGGTCGGCTGTTTCCCTTCCGCAAGGTAGAGAGGGGCTGCTGGAATGTAGGAAGCTGCCTTATACAGAGTCAAACCAGTGGCCCTTCTAGGTCAATATTGCCTACACTGACTGGCAGCCACTCTCCAGGGCTTCAGACAGGAGTCTTTTCCCAGCGCTCCCTGGAGATGCCAGGGACTGAACCTGGGACCTTTTGCGTGCAAAGCAGATGCTCTGCCACCAAGCTGTGGCCCTTCCCAGATATACCAGTGATCTGTTGCAGGCCCACTTCTGTTAAAAGGAGAGCTCAAAGGGCACCCCCCCCCCAGCCCTGCGAGCCTCTTTGTAACATATGCCTGTCTTCTCTGCGCAGCCTGCACTTTGTGCCTGGCATAGAATGCAGAGGTTGGTGGTGATACGATGCTGCTCTCTAGTGGCCAAAGGGCAGAGCGTCAGTGTGACACCACAAGCCAGTTTTTACGACTGACCCGTGTCCTTAGTCTCAAGAAGAGGAGCATGCAGGGAAGTCTTTACAGGGGAGCAGAGCCAGCGTCAGCACCTGGTCTCCTTGGACAGCAGCTGAGGCCCAGAGTCCCAGTAGAGCCCACTGCTGGACCCCTTTAAAAACAAAATACCCCTGGCCCTGCATCCTCAGCAGTGCTGCGCAGCTGTGTCCTGCCTCCATTTGAACTTTTCAGTGACCTAGATTCCTATTATAGGATGAACATGGCAAAGCACACCAATGGTGCTCTCCATTTTCAGGGAGACTTTTGCACATTGGCCTCCTGTGCAAAGGACTCCCACATGCTTCCCATATGGAGTTGGACTAGGACCTAGGAAAGCAGGGTTCAAATCCCCACTGGGTGACCTTGGGCCAGTTGTAGTCTCTTAGCCTAATCTACCTTACAGGGTTGTTGTGATGACCATGGATGCCACCTTGAGCTGCTTTGGGAGGAAACGTGGGATATAAATCTAATTAATTAATAAATGACCACGTACCGTCTAAAAATCTGGCACATCTCTTAGGCCACTTGTGGAAAGGAGGGCAGAGCTACCAGGCCTCAGCAATGTCCTGCAAAAACTCAGCATGCCCCCAACATACAGGGCATAACAGGGCAAGGCCAGCCATGGCAGTCAAGCTGTCTAGTAAGTGCTGCATTGCCTATGCAACTCCCACTGTTGACACTTGCTGTCTCTTCAGCTAAAGAAGAAACTACTTCTTTTCCTCCTGGTTTCCAGTTGCCTTTTAACAAAGCACCTTTCCCAGCACGGACTCAAAATGATAGCCTCACTCTGGCTCCATGGCAAGCCCCAGGCGAGGGCAGGCAGAGACACCGGTCCGTTAAATTTCAATTTTCCCTTTCAACTCCAGGCCATTTATTAAAAACACACACACACACACTCAAAGGATGCACTCAGGGCCCCCTTTTGACACAGCGTTAACTTTATCAAGGCTCCCGGTACAGGGCAGTGATAAATTGAGCATCCCTGCGGTCTGTCAGAGGCAGATTAATACGGTGGGCTAAATGGCCCTTACATGGCTAGGAGGCCAGACATTTCGTAGTCATTGGAAAGAGAGAGGCAGAGGCAGGAACTTGCCTGCGGAACTTGCATCGCGATGCTCTCCTTTAGCAAAAAACGCAACATCAATTCTCATCACTGCTCCTAGGAGAGGCTAGGGCTGGGCCCCCCTCCCAGTTTATTTTTAATGAAGTCGCACCCTGAGAGCTATTTCCTTCTTTTTTAAGAGTCGGGACAAAGCTGTACGTCAGCAGCAGCTAGTCTAAGCTTGCACAACCGGAGGCCCACCAAAGCAAACATCTGCCAGCTTGGACTCTCTCTCCTTTTGGTTTCCCTATTGGGACTGCCCAAAATGGGATGCAAAGGACCCAAGCAAGGCCCAATGCTGGCCCTACCATTAGGTACAACGAGGCAGTTGCCTCAGGTGGGGAACAGACAGTGATGAAATGTTGCAGGACTGAGTTGTAAGTGCCACGTTCCCTCAGGTGCAGCGGAACGGGGCTGCCTCTTCAGCAGTGTTGAAGTGAGGGTCAACTGCAAGTCTGATTAACCTCTGTGTGTGGAATGGGTGGGGCATCTCTCTTCTCCTTCACCTTAGGCAAGAAGGCTCTTTCCCTGCGAGACTGTGTTTGGTTTGCCAGTTCCAGTGTTGCACAGGACCCTGAATAAATGAACTGTCAGTCTGTGTCAAGACACAGGCTTCAGACCCAAGAGTCGGGGTTGGAGCCCATTCACAGGGCTTCAGCCTCAGCTCAGTGGCAGAGAACAGCAGGTCCCAGGTTCAATCCCTGGCATCTCCTGGTAGGGCTGCAAGGAAGTTCAGTCGGAAAGCCTGGAAAGCTGTTACCAGTCTGTGTAGGCAATAATGAGTTAAACGTTAGAATGTTCTGTCTCAGTATAAAAGCAGTTTCTTATGTCCCTTTTGTTGCAAATTGCCATCTTTGCACTTACGATCGAGGAGCTTGGGAGCAGAATCATATAAAGATACAAATTTTTCAAATCACATTGTAAAATATTACGTTTTTTGCAAAAAAAAATCTTTTACAATTTTATAACACATTTTGTTCTGGATTTTTCACATTTTGAACTATACTTAAGGCCCCTTCTGAGCATCAGCTTTTTGTATTTTTTTGATTTGGTAGCACCCTGACATCATAGGGCCCTGACCCATTGGTGGAATACAAGATGCAACCTCAGGCCTGTGGCCTGTCCATTCCTGGATTCCATTTGGAACAGTTGCCCCTCACAGGCTCATTATGTCTCTGAATATTCTTCCCAGTGTGGACCCTAGGATTTTGTCCTGGAATTTTTCTTCAAGAGGCTCAGAAGCGCTCAGTCAGAACATCAGATACCTGCAAGCCATGCAAGGCCCTGTCCTCTGTTCATGCAAGAACAAACCCAGTGGGACCTTTTCCCTTTGCACAAGCTGCTTAAGGTGGAAACACCCAGCAGGGTCAAACAGTATGTAGATTTCAGAGAAGGGGTGGGGAATCCTTTTTTTTTTGTCCAGGACCACATTCCCCTGGACTCGTGCGTGTAGTCACAGGGGGTGGTGCCAAAGCCCAAAGTGGGCAAGGCTACTTCTCTCTTTCACTCATTTCTCTTCCACTGTATAGCGTGCTGTTGGGAGGAGGAACAGATTGTTCCTGCCATCTACTTGTAGGCTTTTCTGCCCTCCCCACTGAATGCTTTTCAGTTGCTCTGTTTCTCAAATACACCCCTCCCATTAGGCTCAACGTAGACCGAATATGGCTTGTCTACTCTTGCCCTAAACTACATACTGAACCTCACCACTTGCAGCCACCCCTCCTCAAGCATTGAGGTGCACCAGGGCTGGCTTCTCTTGTAGCTCCTCTGGATAGAAAAGTGAGAACTTGAGTAGGGAGAGGCAAGGTCTTGAGGACAGCAGTTCCATAAAGTGGAGAAATCTGTTGCCAACCAAGATCTCCAATAATTCTTTTTATCCGTTGTTGCTTGTTGCTGTTCTTGTTAAACCAACCTGCGGAGTGTGGGAAGAGATAGAGGCCTCTACTGGCTGGGCAAGCAGCTGAGGTCAGCTGCTGCTGGTGGTGCTTTGGCAACCTCCTGCCCCTCTTACTGGTCTGCTGAGGACAATGTGTGAATGGAGAGCAGCAACCATGAGACAGAAGGGAAAGGTGGCTGGTGGCAGCAAGAAAAAGCAATGGTTTGTGCTAGGCTGGGCAGGAGCGGGAGAATGCCTGAGATCAGGAAGGAGTGATGGGCAAGGGAGCCAAGAATGGTAGAAAACAGATGACAAACTTCACATGTTGGGGGTTTCATATATAACCAAACTAGGGGCCACCTTGTCAATTAAGACATTAGATGGCTATAAGCTAAAAACTGAAACTAACTGTATGTGTGTGTTTTATACAACCATTGTTGTGATAAGTAAAATAAGCCCAAAGGAAATTAAAAAGAGAGAGAAGACTGTTGCTTTCTGCTTCTGCACCTGCACCCTGCTACAAAAGGACCTACCTTAATACATATTTCCTTGCTCCAAGGATATGTCCCATTCATCATTCACTGGAGAGGTTTAAAGTAATGAGATAGTTCCTAACATCTGAAACCAAAATTGTAACAGGATCGATCTCTCTCCCTCTTCATAAGACATACAGAGCCCTCCTTGCCCAGAGGCACAATCCTTGTCCTTTAACCCCATGGCCAGGAGCTGGGGGAGGAGAGGGGTTACTGAAAGATCTGGGATGGAGGACAGCAAGAGAGTTCACACACACAAAAAAAGGCTTCTTCTTGGCTTGTCCACTCAAAAGCCATTTTTCACATTTTGAAAATAGAGATCATTTTTAGCCTGGGTCCATCTGGTTTCTCAAATAGCCTGTCTCTTTGATAAATAACATAAATTAAATTAGACAAGACAAACAAATAGGTTTTTTGCTTCCCTCCCACCCACCCTGCTTCTCCACCTCTGCCCCCCCCCTTTCAGGAAAGAAACAAAAGCAAATATAATTCAGCAAGTGCCTCCAGTCCCCCCAGGACCCGTTGCAGCAGGGAGCGAGAGTGATGATTAGGAACGTGTCTGCAATGTTAACCTTTAACACCAACTGTGGGCCACGGCTGGCCCCATGCCTTTTAAACTCCTTTTAATTTCCTCTCCCATGAACCAGTGCTGCTAACAAGGCCAGCAGGTTAAGAGCTCTCTGGTTTTCTATAGCCCCTATTACCCAAAGATTGCGAGATCCTTCAGTGCAGAACTACCCTTTATGCAAGCAGCTAAACTGAAGCATTACTAGAAGAAAGAGCTGCTACAGGAATCTCTGGTGGTGCAGCAGCTCTGAGCTAGCCTCCGCCTACTCCAAGTGGGTCCCATCATCTCAACATAAAGGTAACTTTTATTTTTAAACGGAAGAGACAAAATTTGTGGATTATAAACCTACCCATGCTTCCTAGCCATATGAAAATGGAGCTGTTTGTGCAGAGGCAATGAACCCTTCACTATTAAATGCTTAGGACTGCAGGACTTCACTACCTTGCTTGCTGACTCCCCAAGGGCACTTAGCTAGCTGCTATTACTGCTGGAAATGTTGTTGTTCAGTCGTGTCCGACTCTTCGTGACCCCATGGACCAGAGCACGCCAGGCACTCCTGTCTTCCACTGCCTCCCGCAGTTTGGTCAAACTCATGTTCGTAGCTTCGAGAACACTGCCCAACCATCTCGTCCTCTGTCGTCCCCTTCTCCTCGTGCCCTCAACCTTTCCCAACATCAGGGTCTTTTCCAGGGAGTCTTCTCTTCTCATGAGGTTGCCAAAGTATTGGAGCCTCAGCTTCAGGATCTATCCTTCCAGTGAGCACTCAGGGCTAATTTCCATAAGAATGGATAGGTTTGATATTCTTGCAGTCCATGGGACTCTCAAGAGTCTCCTCCAGCACCATAATTCAAAAGCATCCATTCTTCGGTGATCAGCCTTCTTTATGGTCCAGCTCTCACTTCCATACATCACTACTGGGAAAACCATAGCTTTAACTATGTGGACCTTTGTTGGCAAGGTGATGTCTCTGCTTTTTAAGATGCTGTCTAGGTTTGTCATTGCTTTTCTCCCAAGAAGCAGGCGTCTTTTAATTTCGTGACTGCTGTCACCATCTGCAGTGATCATGGAGCCCAAGAAAGTAAAATCTCTCACTGCTTCCATTTCTTCCCCTTCTAATTGCCAGGAGGTTATGGGCCCAGTGGCCATGATCTTCGTTTTTTTGATGTTGAGCTTCAGACCATATTTTACACTCTTCTCTTTCACCCTCATTAAAAGGTTCCTCCTCACTTTCTGCCATCAAGGTTGTGTCATCTGCATATCTGAGGCTGCTGGAAATAGGGTGCTGGAATAGATGCCCCACTTGGGCGCAGTTTAGTCATTTTTTTTTATTCTGGACTTCAGTGCTTTTAGCGAGGTATAGTCAGTATCAAACAACATAAGGCTCAGTGCCTACCAGTCCAGCGCCATCCCCAACCTGGTGCCCTCTGGACAAGGGCCACAGCTCAGGGGTAGAGTGTCTGTTTGCAAGCAGAAGACCTCAAGTTCAATCTCCAGGTAGGGTTGGGAGAGTTTCCTGCCTGAAATTCTGCAGAGCCGCTGCTGTGCAGTGTAGACAGCACTAAGATAGCTGGGCCAGTAGTATAAGGGAGCTTCCTATGTTCCTATCTGGAGGCAGCCTTAGGTTTGTCTACAAGCAGTATGGGGTGGGGGATGTTTTACCTGTGAACTCCTGGTGCCTAGGGGTAGCAGGTGATGATCTCAAGGGATCATCTCACACCTCAAAAGACGAGGACTAATATCTTAATCGTCCTGTGCGAAATATACTTCCTTTTTAAATAAAGACATGCCACAGCTCAGGCCAATGTGGGGCCCTGCCATCTGCCTTTAAAGGTAGCCTTGAAGTTTAAATCTCAAAGTGCAGGGACATGTTCCAGTTGCTCAGTCGTGAAGCAAAGGCATTCTGTAGATGTTCAGCATTACTTTGCTCTGTTTTATGAAACACCTTAGGCTTTCTTTAAAAAGGGGGCCTAGCAACATGTCTTTTTGTAGCCAAAGGAGTGAGCCAAAGAGAGACCAGCAAGTGACAGTCTCTGCTTTCAACACGCCCCCAAAACGGGATACAAAATGTGGTTTTCTTGGTGCAAAGAAAAGTTTTTGAGTATCACAGAGGAGAAGAGCAGCTTGGCAGGGCTCAATAGCTGCAGCTTTCTGCTAGGAGAAGTCATTTAATAGAAGAAAGCCCTTTACCTACTTTCTCATTCCTTGGACCTGACCAAATAGCTCTTGTTTCTGAACAGTGCCCTCAGGTGGCTGAAAACATAACCAGAAAAAGAAGGCTGAGAAAAATAGAGATGAACTCCACTGAGGGTGGAGAATTATATGCATGCTCTAAAATTGTGCCTGAAGCTGTAACATGTAACCATCTTGCTAAAGCTAAGCAGGCCATGTACACCCACCTCTGGAGGAAAGGTGGGAGATATATGTAATAAAATAAAGTTATCAATATAAATGCATAATTTTAACAAAAGGCAGTTTTTAAGAGAAAGTATTTTGATTCCCTGAGAAACAAGCTAAATAGTTTCCTATGGAATCTATAGATTAACACATTCCAGGTTCTACAGTAGATTTAAAAAGCACTGGTTTATTTTGAAAATCTGCTTGCACAGCCTCACATCTTTCATCATCTGTACACATCCATTTTTAACACTATACTTTCTCTCCGCCCCCACCCCCACCCCCCGGCAGAATAGATTTACAATTCAGAATGACTCCTCTGAGATCATGGAGGTACAAAGTTTGAGGATGTTTAGATGCAGGCAAGAGGCTGTTGTAAGAAGTCTTCATTGCAGCACTTTCTAAATATAGCCATAAATATGTTGTTTATTTCCATTCACCTTTCAAATTTCAAATCCATCCTCAAAAACTGAATGTAACTGTTAAAAAAACCCCTCCCCTCCCCCTTCTATTTTTCATGTTGAAAGCTTTAAAGTGTTCAAATAAAGGTATGGAGAACTGAGAAGGATGCACAATGGACAGAAGACGACTTTCCATGCCTCAGTTTTCTTCCTCAACACAATTTCACATGTTCTGTTTAAAAAGGAGGGGCAACAATTGAACATGAGAATGAGGTGTGGGGGACAGAAAAAGGAACCAAAATTGCCTTTAAAAAAGTTAAAACCTTGATTTAAAAATGCCCTAGAACTTTCAGATATATATAATGTTAGGGAGCCCTCAACAACTAGCGAAAGACAGGTGGGGAAGATATTCAGCCTCCGTAATCATTTTTTTAAAGCGTGAAAACACAGACCTCAAATGCCTGGACCAGAACTCTTCTTGGGAGTGCAATGCAGATTGTGCAAGTTGAAGATAAGACCAATGTAGAGAAGTGCAGGTTTGACTGGTACTCAAGCTGCAGCTGCATCCAACAGGTAGAACATACCCTTTCACCTGCTCTCTTATTTGTGCACCCAGGGATGCAGGCCAAGTGACATTCCAGGCATCTCATTATCAAAAGGGTTCCACTCTAGAGAGAGTTGCATCAGTTCTTTCCCTTGAGAAGTCTGTGCAACAGCTGGACCAAGACCAAGCAGCATCGGTGCTCTCCACCCACGTCTTTTATCGCTCCAAGTACTGAAATATACTCCGGGTTTCTTGAGCTGAAGTGCCATCGAGCCGTAGCCGTTTGGGAGAAGGTGTTGCAATGGCGACAGGAGCTCTCTTCTTGACCTAGAAGGTGACAAGAACCATGAGACCACAAAATCTCTTGAGCACGAGAATTTTTTAATTAACTTAATTGGCTCAGATATACGTTGACCCTGCAAAAAGAACACTGCACTCTGTGAGAAGGAGGGTCCCTGCTTTTGTCCCCTGGACATTCTTATTTGCCACAGGCAACTGAGCGAGTGGCTGTTTTCAAGTCTGAATTATATAATAACTCAGCAGTATTTTGATTATGGACCATAGGATGGCAGCTGGTCTTTTCTGCTAAGAGGGCCATGTGACATTCCTGTCCTGGGCAACTTGGCTGGGTCAGGGCCCAAGCAGACAACACACACACACAGTCTCTTTGTCACATTTAAGAAGGGCAAGGTAGCTGCTGACAGCCAGGAAACCACTCAAGATAGCAAAATGTAAGAATTGCCTTGCTGGATCGACCAAAAGGTAATCTAGCAGAGCAATGATCTGCCAGATGTAATGGGAAGATTACAATCAAGGTTTCTGCCCCTTTGCCCCCCATATCAGTCAGTTATCATTAAGCTTCTGTCACACATACCCCAAAACACAGACACATTTTCCACTCTTGGCTGTAAACACCCGACTTCTTAAATCTTTCTTCATATGGATAATGCTGTCCATTTCTGTTCCTTCTCCAGCTTCCTCCTATCATTTGCACTCCTGAACATAAACTACTCTTCCTTACCTTCAAGCAGTGCTAATGAGTCCCTACTAAAGCACTCTTCAAGGAGGCTGACAAACTTAGGAAGGAATGAAATATTGTTGTGGGAAGGAGGGGTTCTGAACTCCTAGGGAGCCTCTAAGGATGGATTAACTATCCTGTCCTAAAGTAGAGGTTGTGAATCTCAAACAGGGTTGTCATTGGCATGCTAAAGAGCACAAAGATATATAAACGAGGGCAGCTTTTTGGCCACCCTAGCCCAGGTTCATCAAACCTGACTGACAGCAACTCTTTTTTTTTTTTAATAGATTTTTATTAGTTTTCCAACAAAATTATACAATTTTATCCAATTTTTTGACAAATTAAGTCTTTTTTGGACTTCCTTCAGCTGCTCTGGTAATCATCCATAGTTATTCTTCCGTACGCATTCCCTTCATTATATTGCCATTTGTCTTCTTATATTGCCATTTGACAGCAACTCTAGCCCTAATATACAAGATCCTTTAATGCAAGTACTGGATTACTGATTGTGCAAAGTAATACTTACAAAGGTATGTGCTCATCTAATAGCCCAAGAATCCATCCCCAGGATGTTCCACTGGATGCCCTGTAAACAGGATTCTAGGAGACTGGGAGGCAGGCAAAGACCACCCCAATGCCTGCTGCAGTTGGACTTTCTCCTGCCCCACCCCCAGCACCAGTTTAACACCAGCTGCCCCATAGGAAGGATGCTGTTGTTTTCCCTGATGTTTAATGTTTTTTGTAAGCTACTTTGGAAGGATCATATTCTGGAAGGTGGGGTATAATGAATGAATGCCACATAATGCCGTTCTGCCTACAATATGAATGAGAAAGCTGTGCTTTGGATCCATATCATAATCGTGTCTCAAATTCCTTGCCAGCCAAGAGTGCAAATTCTCCCTCAGACCATTCCTGCTGAGGCATACCCAGTTCAAGGAACAAAAAAATTAAAAGCAGACTAAGTAAATGATTCCATTCAATTTAAAACAAGAGATATCTACCTGGGGCTTGGACTTCTCCTTCGTCTCCTCGCTCTTGACTGGGGAGAGTGTCTGGAAGACGAAATTTCTTGAGTTCCTGGGGGCATTTGGGTTGAGATCTGACATGGCTGCCAGTTTCTGCAGGACTGCTTTGGGCCTGTTCAGCAGTGATCCATTCTTCAGCTGCAAAAAGGAGGAGGGGTGGATCCAGAGGCATAACATTCAAGTAACATGACCTGAGTCGTACACTGAACACAATTTAAGCCTTCAGAAGAACTGCTAGTCAAGTTGTTCTTTCTCACAGGAAAAGTAAATCGGAACTAGCAATCCACTTGATCTCCATTGTTTAGCTTACTAAAATAAAATAATGCACTGTTCAAAGAGAAGCGATGTGCAATTTGGTACTCCTATCTCAAAAATGAGGCCCACCTTCAATTTTAAAGAAAGCTGTCTAGATGCAATATGAGAAATGATGAAGGGAAGAAATAATCTATTCTCAAAAGAAATAATCCGTTCTCAAAACTACTAAAGTACTGACCTGTGGATCACTGGCAGACCGGAAAGTTTCAAATGGATTTCTGGGTAGTGATTTAGTTTCCTGTACAGCTATTGAGGGAGTTGCTAGAAAAGCAAAAAACAGATAAAGTTTTGAAACTTTGCAAGAGAAAGGCTAAGAACTGTAGCGTATAATAATACATATCTGCCAATTCCCCTCCCAATGCCACTTGCTCTGTACAAAGGCAGCAAGGTTTTAGGAACAAGCCACTTGGAAGTATGGCCACAGCTGGGACCATTCAAAGAACCTGAAAATCAACCCTGTGGTGGCCTTCTCAGTCGTGGTGTTCTGACTTATGGAAAGCTCTTTCCAGAAAATTAAAGAAAGGAGGCACCTGGCATTAACATAAATCCAAGGCCCAGGTCTTCGATGCAAGACTTTTGATGGCTAACGCTGATCTACTGTGACTGCAGTTTTTTGAGGGGTTTTTTGCATCATATTAGCTGCTGCCTCTCTTTCATTATTTTTAAGACTGATCTGGCATTTCAGAAGTTTTATTTTTGTGAGCTGTTTTATAGCTTACCAATATTTAAAATGATATCAAAGTCTCACTAGGGTGCAAAAGTATTTTTTCAATCAACCTGCAGCCTTGGTGTGGAATTTTGGTGCCCACCCATCCCCATTCTGCTAAGGTTCTGCTAGCATTCATAGCACTTCAGTAAGAAACAGGTGTACCTTTCTTTTGTAGGGACTTGACAGTGACTTTTTTGGCCAGTTTCATGAACTGGCTGTTTTCATCGATATCCTCCTCTTCCCCTTTCTCCGACTGTAAATAAGCAGAATTTTCATTAGACCACATCATTATAAGCATGGAACAAAAAGTAACTGAAAAAAGGTGCAGTTTCTTTAATGAATGACACTTTTACTAGTCATGTGCTTTCGCTTAAAAAAAAAACCAAACCACTTTGGGAGGAGCCCAACAAAACAGTTCCACTAATGCAAACATTTCTGGAACGGCACAATGGAACTTCCCCTCCCTGCTTGCACCCCCTAAATCTGTTGTGAGTTTCCCTCAACCTTCCCAAGTAGAGTTAGGGGGCATATGGGGAGAGGAGAGGGAGGGGAAGTTCTGCTTGTGCTGGCAGAATTATTTAGCTGTATACTCTTTGGACTTAAGAGGCCAGTTCCAACCGTTATGTGGCAGCAAACTTGCATCTGTCATTGAATGTACCCTCTTCAGGGAATTGCAGCCGATCTTACCTCTCTGACAAGGGATGCCAATTTTTGTGCCTTTTAGAGGTATACTTAAGACAAGTTATGTATGTTTTTAAAAAAACATACATATGTGAAATAATCCATAAAAGAATTTATTACTGATATTTTGCTTTACTTGCAAGATACTGGCACAGTTCTTACTTCACAATCCATTAACTGACATTAAAAGCTGTTTTAAAACCTTTTCACCATCAAGTTTACAAACTCCCACAGACATCTTCATCCATATTGCCTCCTATTTTATAAAGAAGACTGCCACTGATACTGGCCCAGTGGAAGATGCTATCTTCAGTATTATTATTTTCTTACATTAGAATGTTTGCACCACCAAGAATACTAAATATCTATGGCTTGTAACCAAGAACAGATAGGAGGGGACATTTCAGGTCTCATCTCAGTCTGTCATAAAAGCAGGCTAAATGAAATGGTCCAGGAAGAAGCCTATCCACGAAGGTAAGCTACCTGTTCCCGAAGCCACTGCTCCCGCTCAAAGCGCTCCTTCCTCCACTTCGCCTCTGTCTCATCCAGGTGGTCTTCGTTTTCATCATCGTTCTCTGCATCATTGTGAAACATATCCTCCTGAAAAGAATTGTCTGAAAACAGAGACAGAAAGGGATTTGGTTCTGGCCACTGCTGCCTGAAATGCTCTACTTAGAAGTAAAAGTGTTAAATGCAGAAAAAGCATTGTGAGCCTGGTGGGGGAGAAAGAGATGAGGATTTGGACAGTTGTGGTAGGGATAGAAGGGGAAAGCAAGAGACCCTCCTGCTGGAGTTTGGGTTTACCAATGTAGCCTGCAGAACAGACAGCATATTTGCATAAAAAAGTATCAAAGCAGCTTACAATTTTAATACAGTGGTGCCTCGCAAGACGAAATTAATTCGTTCCGCGAGTTTTGTCGTCTTGCGGTTTTTTTCGTCTTGCGAAGCACGGTGTTGGGAAAGTTTTGGAAAAGCTTCAAAAATCACCAAAACCTCAAAAAAGGCTACCACACCGCGTTCTATGAGTTGCTCCTCGAAGTCAAGTCGCGACTGTATTAACGGTGTTAAGAAAAAGGAAACAAACTTGCAAGATGTTTCCGTCTTGCGAAGCAAGCCCATAGGGAAAATCATCTTGCGAAGCAGCTCAAAAAACAAAAAACCCTTTCATCTAGCGAGTTTTTCGTCTTGCGAGGCATTCGTCTTGCGGGGCACCACTGTACAATAAAAGCCACACAAAAATGTAAAACAGATCAGCAGCAATCACATATTTTAGAGACTGAAAGACGGTGGGGAGTAAAGGTCTGTTTCTCTCCTTCTCTAGGACCATTTGTGACCCACTAAGCTGAACACAGACAACAAGCCATGTAGGGTCTCAATAAGCCTTCTTGGTTTTTTTCCCTGCCTGCGACCACAAGCAGGGACTATCAACTTGTATCAGGCATGGCTCATTCATCTTCATGGGTCACCAGTTGTGCAGGCTTGCTCTAGAATAAGACAGCATTATACCTATGTTCTTCCACCTGAACTTCCTCATTCGCCCAGGGCCATCGCTGTGCAAATCTCCATCAGCAAGGTATCTTTCTTGATACAAGCGCAGCTGTCGTTTGTCATCATCCAGCATCACCTTCCTAAAAAGTATCCATGTGCAAGGGAGGGAAACTGAAATTAGTCTTCATTCAAAAACAAGGCTGTGCTTTCAGAAAAGCACAACCACAAACTATATTTTAAGCTGATGTATCTGCGGCTACTGACATGTGTATTTTGTTGACTTGATCCTGGAGTTCTGCATCTGTAGGGAGGACCTCATCAAGGACTTCATCTTCATAAACATCAAGTTCCTCACCGTCATATTCATCCTCACTCCCCATCTCACTTCCCGACAGCTCAGCCTCCTCTTCCATGAAGTCCTGCAATTTGCTGAAATGTTTTGAGAGGAGGGAAAGAAAACCAGGAATCCAAGTTGAGTCTAAAAAGATTTCAGGAGCTGCTGCACATCATGACAAACTTCATCTTACCCAGAACTGCCAACATTAGCAGGCAGAGTCTCAAATCCAGCCCTCCAAGACTCTGTTCTCAGTCCTTCAAGGAGAAAACATTTATACCTTGCAAGGCAGGAGTTGAACTGAGACTTCCATACATACACAGGACCTGCTTAAATCACCGAAGAACAGCACAATGTGTGAGTACAACACTTAAAGATACTGTGAAATATTGCAAATCCCATGTTAGGAGATACCCTAACATGCAATAGAAATTTTCAACATCATGCCAGTATTTAAGGCCACAAAAGTTGTAAGCCTACATTTTTTAAAACTAGTTGTGCATTATTACTATTAGTAGTAGCAGTATTACTATTATTATTTTATTAATATATGCCAAATCCATGCTTCTAAAAGATGCAACAAAATAGAAACAATTAAGCCCCAATCAAAATGAAGAAAGACAAGGAACCCGAGGCTCTCCTCTTTTCCTTTCATCATATAAAACCTTTGCCTTCAGCCATGATTTTTATTGTTCCCAATAAATTTCAGAAACATTTGTTGCCATTTCTTTAATACAGAATTTAGTTTATTAATATTTTGAAATAAGAACAGATGCCAAGGGTAAACCGAATCAAGTTGGGAGAGCTTGTTCCTTCCTGCTGCTGCCTTCTTGTGGTGCCTTCACAAGAGTGTGTCACTGAGCTCATTTCAGCAGCATCCAGAAAAATAAACAGGTTAGCCCTCTGAGTACCCTTCCCCTTGCCTGCTTCATCGTCAGCCCGCCATTTCATTAAATGGAACTGGGCTGTCAAACCCTGCAATTGTTCAAGCAGAGGCTGATTGCCACTGTTGTCTGCTTGCTCCACGCTGCCTTCACCAACCATTCAGCGCAAAAGCAGATTTGCCTTAACCATCCCCCATATCTCAGTCTGTGGCCAGTTTGCATCGAGCCATGGTCTGAGTCCGGGGTTTTGTGGCCTGAGGGCAACCCAGTCAGATAGGTGGGATCTAAGTAATCTTTTCCTCCTCTTCTTCTTCACTGTTGGCTGACACTTGAAGGTTCCATGCCAGCCATTGGTGTGATATCATTCTCACACACACACACAGAGAGAGAGAGAGAGAGAGAGAGCACTCCCCTGCCTACAGATCAACTGAGGTGGTGCTTATCCCCCTCAAAGTGCATGAAGTTTAGCAAATTTGCCAAGAAAGCCCCTGGAAAGATTTCTCTGCCAACATCTTTCAAGCCTGTCCCTTTTTATTTTGTTTTAGATAGCTTCATATATTGCATTGATCCTGTTTATTGCAAAACTATAAAGGCTAGAAGGATTTACTTACAATTTCTTCTTCATTCCTTCCCTTCGTCTTAACACTTCCTCTTCATCATCATCATCTACTTCATCTTCACTCTCTTCTTCTTCCTCTGTCTCTCCTTCCTTTTCCTCCTCCTGCTCATCCTCCTCCTCCTCTTTGTTCTTTTCATCCTATCAATTCAGGAAATGAATTCAGGATTTCCTTTAGTATCTTATCACCTCCTTTACTACCTTCTATATTTCAGCTTGTTCTTTTATTTAAACAACACAGTTAGAAGGTGGTGTCTACATGATGATTGTTTAGGAGCATAGAAAACCCACAGAATGAGCTACTGGGTACAGCCTCCAGCTTCATTTAAAAAGCAATAGAAATGGGAATGGAAGAGCACAGGGCAATGTCTGTTGAAATCTCAGGAGCCTGAGGGGTGACTGAACAAGATACTGGGGGTTTAGGCTTGAGGCTTCAGTGCTCTGCAAAGCAGAATCAATTACACAAAGTAAGGAAAAATATTCAAATTTGCTTAGTACACACATTCAGGCTGCAGAATGGAGTTTCTCTTCAAATCCATTTACTCTGGGGCATACCCAGCCCTGCCCATTAGCTTCCGGTGGACTAGTTGAGTAGAACATTGGCTTTGGGGTGGGAGTGGAAATAGTTAAGGTTTTGTGTGGAATGCATGCCTGGTGTTTAATTCTGGAATAACCACAATAGTTTGCAGTACTCACTTCTTCACTATCAAAGGCATGGTCATCTGTTAAGAGACAGAAGTCTCCAAATTCTTCTTCCTCATCTTCTTCCGCTTCTCTACAGGAAAGGATTTTTAAAAGGGAAGAAAAAGACTTGCTTAGCAACTGGAATCTAGCAAAGTGGGAATGTGCAAGTGGGAAAACAGGAGTCCAATATACATTTGGAGGGCCACAGGCATCTCGCCCCTGCTGTCCAACCTGTCACACCTAGTTAGCCATGACAGAACATGGTGAACAAAACAAAACGCATTAGGACTTATCTATCCTCACAGTCCCCAATATGTCACCGTACTTAGCACTGCCTTGGACTAGCTGCGGCTAATTTTCTGGAGTTTAGTTTAGTGTAGAAAGGTAAACAATAAGGAGAGATAGCACCACTTCTTGGCGACTAGGCCAGTGAAAAATTTTGCTTAATTGAGAAGTTTTCTCCTCCCAGTCGTACCGATTATCTCAATACAATGGATGTTTTCATGCTCCCTCTACTGAAGGAGAGGAAAACCTTTGGAGAACTGAGTTGCACATCTCCAAGGCTTACCTCTCAGTTGAAAAAGAGCCAGAACAAAGAGCTACTGCCTCAGCCATTGGATCATCAGTGCTGTTCTCTTTTTCCAGTTTAGGGTTTGCTGAGGAGGATCGAATGGGAGAATCTGAGAAAGAAACCAGAATTGAGATGTCACTGGAACAGGGACCAACAGGCAGAACCCAGCTGGTCCCAGATAAAGTGTTCTTGTATCCCCAGCCCTTAAACTTATTAAAAAGCTGCTGCTGCTAAAGAAACAGCAATTCCTCTACCTAATATTGGGAGCTTTTATTTCTCTATATATTATAATGTAAGAATGTCATCACACAGCTCTCATTGGAGGATTTGCATAAAGTCAGGGAAGAGGAGCAGAAGACAAGGCTGGTTGCACAGCAGCAGCGACTATGACATGGAGGTAAGAAGAGAGGAACAACGAAAGGGAAAAATGTGGCTGTTTCAAACAATAGCAAAAGTCTGAGTAAAGTGAAAGGTGGGTATCACTTAGAGGAAAATTGCAGTTTTAAGCAACAGCAGGGGTTTAAGTAAAACAGGGATGGAGAGATACTAAGACTGAGAAAGTGACAATTGTCAACAATGACAGAGGTTGGACTCAGCCATTGATACCCAAGATGTGATTGTAATCTGTTTAACTACTTCTATTTTTAAATTTTGGGACCTGCTGGTGAAGGGCAGGCAATAAATCTAATGTCAATAAATAATGATGATAATAAACCAAGCAGGGGAGACACTATGTTTAAAACTAAGGTTTGGGTACAGCAAGAAGAGAATTTGGAAAGGCTCTGCTGTGCTAGTTTCTGTGGTGAACCCATCTCTGCTATTTCTCCTCGTTAAAACTATTTGGTTTCAAATAAGAGAAAAAAATCCTCAGTGTCTTTCCATCTTTCCTTTACTCAAACTCTAGTGTTGCTTAAAACTGCAATTTTCACATTTGTCCCTCCACCCCCACTTTACTGAAACTTCTGCCAGGTTGAGGAACTTCTTTCCTGGGATGGGACTTCTTGCTCCCTTGACAGTGGCCTTCAGTCACAAGAAGAACTTTTCGGGCAAGCAGTCAGACTACTAAGCTGTTGCATTTTATACAGGTTTCATTAATCAGATTGTTATATATGCTGTTCTTACCTCCTTATCTTGTTTATTGTTATCCTACATGTGTCTACTATGCTGCAAGCAGCCTTCAGCAGTGTGTAAATTGAAAATCAGAGTAAAGATTATTTTTAACGGAATAAAATTGCCATTAAAAAAAAAATCCACAGACAAAACCGTTAAATTTACTTGCCAAAACTAGGTACCTACTAGCCTCTTTCCCTTTGGTTTGATCATCATATTCTGGGTGTAGAATTTAGCAAAAGCCTACCGAAGGTGGTATGTGCAACCGTAGCTCTTGCTATGAGGAGCAAGATCCACAACTTACTCTGAGAAGCAAACTTTCCAGAGCAAAGGTTGAGCAGCTCTTCCATGTTCTGCTTCTTGCCATGGTAAGTGTTGGGAGGACACTTGTTCTGAGAGGCAAACTGGCCAGAGCACAGATCCAACAGCTCATCCATGTTTGCATCCATGGCGTTCTCGTCCATGCTAGCCAACGGTAGGCGGTCCTTGGATGACTGGTATTTGTTCCGGTGATGGCCAACATTCAAAAACCTGAAAGCAAAATTAACGACCGTCTTTGAAAAAGTCCAGAGTCATCAGAGGAAGCTCAGGTGGTTTGGCAAGAAAGGTCTCCAGCATGGACCTTTTGGGATGCTTCTTCTGTAGCTACACTCACACAGGGTAAGCACCACTGTATAACTGTTTCAGCATTTTCTTTTAGGACTTACCTACCTTAGACAACTTTTATTTACTTGCTTTGTGTATACAGTGTCATCAATGTGAAAGAATTTTACAGTTTCTCAAGGAATGTTCAATCTAAACTTTGACACAAAGGAAGCAGAGGAACAGGGGTGGGGAAGTGTGGATGTGGTTTTTATTTTCCCAGGGTTTTTAAACGCTTGTGCATTCTTGTTATGCTTCTTGGTATAATCCTGTTGGCTGCCTTTATATTGTGGCACTTCAATATATTTGTTTTAATTTATTTAACAGTAGCTTCAACTTTGTGTAAGCTGCCTTGGGAACCTCTTGAAGGGTGGGGTATAAATCAAAATCAAAATAACTTGAAAATGATTTCACTCCACTCCAGACTATGAGCAAAGTTTTTTACACTTTGGGTTAAGATTTGGTAGGGCTGTGGGTCCTGTATAAAAATTGTTTTCAGGCTAGATTCATTCCACAAGCTGCCAATAGTCAAAAAGATCAAGACACACACACCTTCCCAATAGGCCTGTGAACTAAGTAACTCTGAAATATGGCCTGCTGGTTGAAGATTTGTCAGATCCAGCAACTTGACTTCATTGCTAAGTCATTGAGGACACTGTGTCTTGGACTGAAAAGTGGAAGCATATCCTTTTCTACCACCAAACTTCCTTCCTCTCGTGGGTTTCAGGATTCAAGCCTATTATCTACTACTAGAAGATACTGAGTACACAGGCAACAGCAAACCAGCAGCTTCTATTTCTGAGACTGAGAAACCATTCACTGAAGAGTGGGTGCATTTCATCCCACTGTTTATTTGTTCTAACCATTCACAATCCTATGCATGCTTACCTTGAAGCAAGTCCCACTGTGTTCAATGCAGTTTTACTTCCTAGTAAGTATGTTTAGGAATGCAACCTTACTCTACCTATTTTGAAAGCGTTACTTGCAAAAGAGAGCCAACTCTCCAAATTACATACCCATCCGCATCAAGCAACTGACTCTGAGTGTCGTCTTCTAGGGAGAACTGGAACTGAAACCTCCCAGCTGTTGGAACTGGGCTTTTCTCTTCAGGAGTAGCATTGTAGAGATCTTGGGAATCCTCTATGGGTAGGGAAGGCTCAGATGCCTTCCCTGAACTCTAAAGCAGATGAGAAGCAGAACACAGTTAAGATTCATGAATTAAAAGGCAGACTGTAGCCAAAATTCAAACTAGGAAATGAAAAATTCAAACTAGAAAAATTAAAAGTGCAGGCCAGAACTCTGCAGCTAACAAACTGAAGCAATACAAAATTGGAATCAATTATAATGTTTGCATATAGAAATTAATCAATTTGCAAAAACTTTGAATTTCTGGACATAGGAAGCAAAGAAAGAAAGGTTTCCCTAAGGCTGCAGAATTAAAGGAAATACATTCTTGTCTCTGCTACTAGCCAGGGGAACAAGAGCATTGGGAGGCTCGTCCTCAGATTCTCATGTCTGATTTTATGTATATAGTTGTTTTGTATCTTGCCCTGGGATCTGCTGTTCTATGACTACAAATATGCTCGCATAAGTAAATAAATAAATAAAGGCCAGCCACAGATTAGAATAGACAGGTCATGGAGACTACAAGAGAGTAGCTTATTGAAACCTACACAAATACAGTTACATCTGCTAAATCAATGAACTGAAGACAGTTCACAAAGGCATGGCTCTTAATAACAAGTGGAAGACAGTTGAGAGGCAGGGTCCAGGACACTACAAAATCCTCATTACAAGATGGCCCTGACCACCTTGCCAAAAAGAGGTACTCTTCCTGCCTCTCCTCAAGATTATTCCAACTACTAGCTAGTCACAAACATATCCATTTTGGGCAAGACGCTTGAATTAGTGGTTGATGCCCAACAGACACTGTTTGATGACACCAATTTTCTAGAGCTATTTCTATCTGGCATCTGGTCTTATTTTTGGCACTGAAGCAGCATAGTCACCCTTTTGGATGACCTGTGCAATGAAAAGAACAAGGTGAGTGTGACCCTTCTGCACAGTTTAAAGGGTGTACCTCATTTGTATGGCGTGCTTAAGTTTCTGTACCTATGGTAAACACTGCATTAAAAAAAACTCCACACTTCACAAATACTTGCTATCCATTATGTATAAAGCATTTTCTTAGATGCCACACAGAAGATTTAAAAACAACAGCGCCTGTCTGCAAGCTCACCATTTAAGAAGCATGATACAAAAAGGAAAATCGAGTGGAGAGGGATGAGGGGGGAAAGCAAATTCAGGCACCAGTTCTTAAAGTTACATATTTGCTCTTCGAGTGACCAGCTGCTATTAGTTAAAGATTTTAAAAAAGATCAAAATCTGACCTTAGAAGCAGAACTGATGAAGCTGGTTTTGAAAAAGCCGGGAGAAGGAGAGCGGACGACTCCAACGGCAGACAGAAAGTTGCCTCCACGTGCCAGTTGCTTATTGCAAGGTTGATAGGAGGGAATCATAGAACCAATCAACTCAAAGCTGCTGTTGTGACTGTTTTCCTTTGCCAAGTTCGGCAGTAAAAATGAATCTTCATCTTCTAAGAGAAGGAAAGGAAAAGTGAAGAAACCCTACTAATTTTTAGAGGAATTAAAACAACCTGAGCTGGTTATTAGAGTGAACTATTAGAGTGAACTAAGCCACATCCCTCTCCATGGAATTTGGGGGAGGGCTGAGGTTCTACTCAGACCCCAACTATAGGAACTGGTTTATCACTGAGTGCCAAATGAAATTCATTCACTGGGTCTTCCCCAAATAAAGCTCTGCTAGAGCACAAGTGTGAATCAATCCCACAAAATATCCTGCTTCCAGTAATGGCAAATCTTCATTGTCTCACAGAAAGGGGAAACCACTGATTCATTGAAACAGAAGTCACCAACAAAATGAAACATTTGCAGTAACGTAGGGAAACAGCTGAACATTTTCAGAAGTACAAACATGGAATGAGAACAGCTCAAGCTACATAAAACAGCCCACACCAAAACTAAGATCTTCTGCTCACCCCAACTCCCTACTGTTGATTTAAAGCAGAGTCTTGGTGCCCAGCGGAAGGATGAGGAAAATGTGTTACATACTCCATATAGCTTTATTTACAGTTCAAAGCTGGTATATTACAGAAAGACATCTTGCCTCTGCCAAAGCAGAAAAATGCATCCTCTCTCCTCGACAGCTTGGAGAGAAACACACAGTGAAAAAAACAGGAAACCAGTGTACGTCACATCCAGTCTCCCTTTCCCGTGAGAAACTCCAACAGTACCTCTGACTGTGGAATGCAAAACAATGTCTTGTGACTGCAGTTGCTGCTCAGTGAGGAAATAGAAACCAACATCCTCCCCTTTCTGTGAACATCACTGGGCAGCGTGTTTGCACAATATCAGTACAAACCCAACTTCTGCACATAGGTACAGTGTTGATCCCTTGATACAATCTTGGACAATACATCAGCAGGAATTTCATTACCTGGCATATAGGACACCGTTACGAGTCCCTTCTGAATACATTCCCTAGCATGCTGCAACTTTAATTGCAAGTGCTTTGTGCTTTGCTTACAACCTTCAGACTTCAGCAAAGCCAAACATGCTTTGTTGTCCTGGTAAACCTGGATTGGACATTTGACAGGAATTTTCATATCTTTGCACAATTGTACTAACCATTCACAATCCTTAAGTGAATAAGACAGTGCATTCAGTTCGGCTTCACAAGTACTTAAGCTAACTGTTGTTTGCTTCTTGCATGACCAATCAAACAGACTCTGATTGTACATATAGCAAACTCCAGACGTACTTTTCCTGTCTGTAGCGTCACTTCCAAAACTTGCATCTGCAAATATCTCAAGACCACCAGACTTCTGATTGTTAAATCTCAGTCTGTAATGCATAGTGCCTTTCAAATACCGCGCTATGCGTTTCAGAGCTTTCAATCCTTGACACTAGGATTGTTGACTTGTCTGCTTAGCAAATTACAGCTAACAGCAATGTCTGGTCTTGAACATCTGGCAATGAAGTTTAGCTTGCCTAGCACACTCCTGTACAGTGTAGTGTCAGAAAATGCTTCTTCAGTGTCATCTACCTGATAACCTGTTGTCATCGGTGTGTCTACAGGGTTAGCATCCATCAGATTTAGTTTGCTTAACACATCAGCAATTTTCCGTGACTGGTGTACTAGAATGTTACCATCTTGATCTCTCTCTATTTCCAGAGATAGGTAGTTGTTTACCTCACCAAGATCTTTCATGTCAAAGTGCTCTTTCAGTTGAGCTAGGGCGCTATTGTACATTGCAACATCTTTCCAAAAGAATAATAAATCATCAACATAAAACAAACAGTACAGTTTCTTTTGCCCCTCCTCTTTGACAAATACACATGGATCAGCTTTCCCTTGCTGAAAACCTAGAGAAACAATACTTCAGTGAGTTTTGTGTGCCAACACCGTGCACTTTGTTTGAGACCATAAAGGGATTTCTTCAGAGCACAAACAAATCCCTGTTTTACCTGTACGCCATCAGGTGGAAGCATATAAAGTGATTCATCTAGAGATCCGTACAGAAAAGCTGTATTAATATCATGGTGACTAATGTGTAGATTTTCCTCTGCAGCTAGCTTGAGCATAAGCCTAATGCTTTCATATCTCACTGTGGGTGAATAGGTCTCGTGATAGTCTTCACCTGGTACCTGTGCAAAACCTCTGGCTACCAATCTGGCTTTGTGTCTGACTATCTTGCCATTTTGATCTGTCTTCGCTTTGAAGACCCATTTGCTTCCAAGCAGTTTCATTCCTGGAACTACTGGAACTAGCTCCCATGTTTTGTTCCTTTCTAAGGAATCAAGCTCAGCCTTCATGGCATTTAACCATGGCTTAGCTTCCTTTGAATCCAAACCCTGGATTTCTTGGAAATTTGAAGGTTCAAATACCTTCTTGGAGCTTTTAACAGCTGTTACTGCTATCTTAGCAAACTCATCAGCAAATCTCTTTGGAGGTTTGCCTTTTGTGGCTCTCTGTGACCTACGAATTAGCCTTAAGTCTTCAACACTCTCCTCTTCCTTCTTAGGAGAAAAACGACCTATTGTGAACAATGGTTCCTCCAATTCTTGATCAGAGCTTTCAGAGGGTCGCATAGAGGCTTTCGCACTCTTGAAATCCTCTGAATCACCCGATTCAGTTTCAGATTCAGACTCAGAACCTTCATCAGTGGGTGTGGGCTGTTGTGGTTGCTTTTGACTATCCTCAGTCTCATCACCGTCATCAGGATAACATTGGAAAATTCCCACATTCTCCCCCACTTTGCATTGTACTCAACACTTCTCGTGAGCTTAATTGTCTTAGAGTCAGTCATCATTATTCTGTAAGACCCTTTCTGATAACCTAGAAAGATACCATGCAATCCACGCTTGTCTAACTTGGAGTTTTGTGGTGAGTGAACCCACATGTCAGAACCAAAAATCTTCATGTGTTTGATGTATGGCTTCTTGCCAAACATCTTCTCATAGAGGTACAACCAATCGCTGAAGATAATCTGCGATTGTAACTGTAAACAAAACACGAGAGAGATTCGGCCCAATAACTCTCTGGAAGATTGGCATCATGCAGCAAGGTTTTTAACCCTTGAAGCAATGTCTGATTTGCCCGTTCCGCAAGTCCATTCTGCCATGGCGAGCGAGGACTAGACAAATCGTGTTGAATTCCTTTCTCAGTCAGAAAAGCTTCAAACTGCTGAGAAGTGAATTCCCCCCCGCGATCACTGAAAAGAGTCTTTATCTTCTTACCATGCACATTTTCCAGCCAAGCACAGAATTCCTTGAACCTAGGAAAAGCCTCCGATTTCTGCTTGAGATTGTACACAAAAATATATCTAGAAAATGCATCAATGAGAACCATGAAGTACCTATTTCCACCCAAAGAGGGCGATAGTGGTCCAACCAAATCAGCATGAACAACCTGGTATGGTTCTGTAGCTTTCCTACTAGACACCTTACCTTTCGCAGCCATTTTCACCTTGTTTGCTGCGCATGCTTTGCACTTCATGTGGTACCTGCAGGGTTTAATAGTCATACCTTCAACCAAGGCAGGCATTTTAGATACTGCCTCAAAATGCAAATGACCAAATTTGCGATGAAAATCGTGAATACATTCTGCATGCAAACTTTGTTAGAACCTGCAATGCAACAAGTGTCATCCTGCACCACATCATCATAATACAAAACAAACAAATGATCAACATATTCTGCATGCAATACATAATCATTTTTCTTTGTGATGATGCACTTCTTGTTCTTGAAGGAAACGTCAATGTTCCGCTCATTCAGCTGTCCAACGCTGAGCAGATTATGTTTGGCGTCTGGCACGTAAAGCACATTCTGTATCGATAAGTCCAAACTGTGAAGAACAACAGTTCCGTAGCCTTTACTGGGAATAGTGTGGTCATCCGCCTGGTGAATCGCACCTTCCTGCGGTGTAAAAGACACAAACAGTTTCTTATCGTTGCACATGTGGTGGGTGGCCGCTGAATCAACAACGAAGAAAGATCTAGACGTCTTCTGGACCTCTGCAACCTTTGGAGTGAAGCGTGAAACCATAGCCTTGTGCTGCGTTGTCCTAGACACCGGACCTTTGCCTTTGCCTCGGCCTTTTCCGCGCGATGAGCTTTCGCTGCGCTGCTCTGTCTTGGCCCTGGGATGTCTGCATTCCCTCTTCATATGGCCTAGACGTCCACACGTGTAGCATTTCACTGCCTTCAAAGCTTTGGCGCCATCTGGTGGTTCCACTGCACTATGGGATGACGTCTGTGAAGACTCTCCCTTGCCCATGCAGCTAGCACCCGGCGATCTGCTTCATTTAAAATCACGGCAGTAACAAAGTCCACTGTCAGCTGAGCAGTTGGTTGCACAGCAATCTGGGTTGCAACAGACTCCCAACCTGAACCCAAAGATTGTAGTATCATGAAAGAATACACAGCCTCTGGAAAGTTGAGTCCTCTCTGTTGCAGCTCATGTCTCAGATTTTGCATCTGCATCAGATGTAAACGCACATCTCCACCTTCAGTAAGAGCCATATTATGCAGCTTGTTAAAATAAAACATAGTGGATCCAGCTTCTGTCCTTAAGTGAGCCTCTTTCAGAGCGTCCCAAATTTCTCTGGCTGAGGTCTTATCACGCAATAGACAGAGCTCTTCTGGGGATACTATCAATGTAAGAGTTCCCCTTGCTTTGGAATCCTTAGCTTCCCATGCATCTGTAACTGGAACTGGGGGTTCCTGTAATCACCTCAAACAAACCCTCTTTCCGCAGAATTGCCTCTGCATACTGAACCCAGTCGCTGTAATTTTTCTTGTTGAGCTTAGGAATCCCACAAGCATCCTGAAGGGCCATCATGACTCTGGCATTAGCCTTCAGCGTCATATCTATGCTGCTTTAAATCTTGCTGCGTCACTGCTGCAGCTGCTTCATTACAAAGGCACACTTAAAAGTTACTTTCGATTTCCCCAGCATAGTGACTTGTGCCTGGGAGCCTTTTGCCTATTCGCAAAACCGGCTTTAAAAGTTCAAAGTCCAGCCATAAAGCCATTATCTTGAAGCTGGCAGGCTGCCCGGAGCAGTAGCACATACCTCATCAATCACTTCTACGCGCAGAGCAGATTCCTTTCCGATCCGTTCCTCTGCATTCCGATCCGTTGCCGGCACTCCGATTCGACCTCTGGGCCCATAACCACGTGTTGATTTAAAGCAGAGTCTTGGTGCCCAGCGGAAGGATGAGGAAAATGTGTTACATACTCCATATAGCTTTATTTACAGTTCAAAGCTGGTATATTACAGAAAGACATCTTGCCTCTGCCAAAGCAGAAAAATGCATCCTCTCTCCTCGACAGCTTGGAGAGAATCACACAGTGAAAAAACAGGAAACCAGTGTACGTCACATCCAGTCTCCCTTTCCCGTGAGAAACTCCAACAGTACCTCTGACTGTGGAATGCAAAACAATGTCTTGTGACTGCAGTTGCTGCTCAGTGAGGGAAATAGAAACCAACACCTACAACCTAGTTATGTATAACTCATCCAGCGACTATATCCCATACATCTCTCTCCTAGTTTCACCTCTTATATACACAGCTCTCCACACACTGCTTCATTTCTAGCATGTGAAGATTTGAGCCTCTAAGCAGTCAAAGACTTACAACTTCACATTTTCCTTGCAGCAAATCCAGTGGGGTTCTGATCCACACTTTAGCAGATCGTAAGCCAAGATAGGTTTGCAGCAAGGCATGCAGCAGATCACATCTATCCCAGAGGTAGTTGTTTGAAAGACCTTCCCAAAATTTAACCAGCCTATGTATCTGTGTATTAAACTTACCTTGTAACTAAAAGAAATATATTGCTAATTGTTGAAGTATATCTATGTTTTGGCAAAATGCTTGCCCACCATTCAATCATGAAGAGAAGAAGCAGAAAGACTTACATATAAAAGTTATTAAGACATATATTTTAGTTACAAGAGAAGCTTAGTTTGTCGTTCAAAGGCACAGTATGAAAAAACAGACAAGAGCACGCCAGCTGCAGATACGCAGGTATATTACCTGGCTTGTGTGATCTTCCCACACCTTCTTCCACCTCAGCTTTTTCACTTGGAAGAGAACACCTGCAAGAAACAGTAACAGCCCAAATGAAGGATAATCGTATTTTTAAAAGGTAGCAAGGACCACTCCATAAATCAGGGACAGTCAATGTGGTGCCCTCCAGTTGCTGGTGGACACACTGGGTGATTGGCTATGCTGGCTCAGATTGGATTCGAAGAACATTTGGAGTTTACCGTGTTGGCTAGTCCTGTAATAAAACTAAAGCTTACCCTGTTTTTGAAGAGTTATCCTTGAACAGCAGCAAGGTTGACTCTGTTGAAGAAAGCTTTGGAACAGCAGTGCAGTGCACAAAGTTAGCTGCTTGTTCCTCATCAACCGATTCTTTGTCGCTATCTGCAGGGCCTTGCTCTTCCAGCTCCTCATTATCTTCCTCTGCCTCACCAAGCAGATACTCCACCGTCTAGTGAAATACACACACACACGTATACCAAATTCCATAGTGAGTGAACTTTTGCTTATGGGTATGCTTAAACACAGATAGTTGTTGGCTTCAAGTGCATACACTTTTATGGCGAACAGTGAAAACTCTTATGAAACCTACGGTTACAAAACAGGGCTTTAAAAAAAGGATCAGGCCAGTTGCTAGGAGACAATAGAAGAACGTTGCCTTCCTGACTTGCTTCTGCGAAGCCCACAAGCATCTGGCTTGGCACTATGGGAAACAAGATGCTGAACTAGATAGACTCTTGATCTAATCCAGCAAAATTCTCATGTTATCTAGACTTCTTTAGTTTCTTTTTTCTGTATATGCAATAAACCAGTTTCTAGCCCTTATAGTTACAGACAACACCTTAAAAAGATGGAGCCAGTATCTGCCAAAAGCTCAGACTAAGAAAAGAGGTACAATGGGGGCCACCAGCAGGAGGATAAAGAAGTGGTTGCTGGTCACAGTTCCCATTCCCTACTGCCTGCCCCATCCCTCTTTTGGGATAACTGATCTAGAAGGCCAACACTTAATTTCTAGAGCCGGTCTATCTCAAACTACTATTCTCCGGTTCAGAAGCCCTTCCTCCTAACATATTGCAAGAGTTATCTCAGCAGTGAAGAATATGTACTTCCTTAAATTCCTTCTTTTTCCCCCCAAGTCTAATCCCTAGCATTTAAAAACAGGTGCCAGGACAGAGTCCAAGAACATGTTGAGCCCAGACAGATGCCCTCTTTTGCAGCTGGACATCATGGGTGGCATAAACTCTGCAATAGAGGAATCTGCTGCTACTTGACATTCACAATGATCAGAGGCTGCTCCCTTAGTTTCTTATCTGGCCCATTTTTATTGCTGTATTTTACAGATTCCAATTATATTAATAATGTACCCCACTCTGATAATTCAGATTGTAACTTGCTTTTCAAGTCTTCTAAATAAATACTAAATTTTTGCAGAACTCCAAAACTTAGATGCAACAGTTGTTGCCTTTTGTTTAATTTATTCTGCCTATAGTAAAATTGCAGAATTGGTCTTGCTAGGGGGGCAGATATGTATATTTAAAGCAAACTAAAGTACCGGTTCATCACAATTCTGCCTGGCTTTGCAGTGCTTCATTTCCTTGCAACAGAGCTTCTAAGATACTCTGCTAGTTGATACTCTGTACAGCAATGTCATTCTTGGCCTCGTTTCCTACTTTCTCATATTCAGAGCCCCCCTGTGTGGCTTTTGAGAGGTATGGAACGAGGCAAAGTAAGTGGTGGCCCTTCAGGGTTCTGTGACTACCTGCCTGAATTTCTGTACTTCCTCGGGGGAAATTGTTTCATGATTAAATCATAACAAATTTCTGGCTGCAAAATTGCCAGCAGTAAGGTGGACAAGATAAAAGCCTGGATTTCAATGCCTAGCTGTGTGGGGAGCTGAAGCCGCATTTACTTAATTACAATTTTTATTTCAGATCAATTTGGCAAGAGGCCAATATTAAACATGGCACAAATTCCTGAGTCTCATAGTTCCTGGACAGTTTTATGAGAAGTCAGCAATACATTAGAACTTGCTGAAGTAGGCCAAAATAAAATAAAATGTAAAGCAAAATAAAGGAAAGACCTCTTGATTGCCTTCCTCCTCCTCCGATTCATCTGTCATCTCCTCCTCTTCTTCCTCCTCTTCCACCATATCCTCATTATCCAATTTATACAATGCTTGCCGCTTCTGGCGTTCCTCCATCCTGCGGAGCTTCATGACCTCCTGCAGTTGAGCCTTAAGCATTTGTAGCTTTTCACCTGGTAAGCATAAATACGCTAAGATGCACATTTTAACAGACACACAGAAATGTCATTGTCCCGGGCAAGCATTTTAATGATGCCACCAACAATTAATTTTAAAAGCAATGGAAGTTTATTTGAAATTGGGGGTGTTCAGGAACTCATGTGCTGACTAAGAGAACCAGCAATTCCAGCTAGGAAGAGAAGGAAAGCTTCAGGCTTCTGAGATCTTATTTGCTTTAAGCTAAAAAGGACAATTGGTCCTACCTGAAGCATAAGATTTTGTAGGTGACGAGGGGTTAACTGGGGATACTGTATCATCAAGAGGACAGAGCTACTCATCATGTGGGACTAGGGCTGTCATTCAATTGACTAAAACTTGGATTATGGAAATGTGAGTCAATCAATTAAACCTGTATGAGCAACAAAGATTATTTTAAATTCAGATGAATGCCATTTTGTGTCTTTTTCTAAATGACGCATGCTTGTGTTGCAGTAGGCATCATCTTAGTCAGTTCCCTTTTTTGAAGATGCTACTTGCCATCAGCAGCTTTGAGAATCTGCATTTTTTTTTTAATGTAAGAAACTAAAAACCTGCTTTCCAATCAAGGGGCACCTTTTTAGTGTATCAAAAATGTTACTGACAAAGTAATCTACATTGGTTGAGCCACCATTGCAGCTCTATTTATGACCAGCACCCGAGAACTGATGGAAGCATCCCCACCCAATAAACCTTGCCCTGTGCTCTCTCAAAGCGTACCTGGTTTTGCATGGGTTGCACCCTCCACAGTCTCTGCAGCCAACGTCACTGCCACCACATCTGCTTTCAGCTCCTCCTTGCCCTCATGAGTGGTCTCTTTCCGAATGATATTCAAGCCCACCGTTCGTTCTGCTTTTGGCTTGGTTGTGTAAAGTGCATGCTTCACAAAACGTTCCTTCAAAGCATCTAGTTCTGTTTTTTGGGGGGGGCAGGGGTTAGAAAAGAAAACATACTATAATTACTTATTTGTGAAAAACTTTGTAGTTTTCATTTTTTTAAAGCCTATCAATCTTACTTCAGCTGGATCTAAAGTTACCTAAAATCAATCAAGTTGAAAAATAAGAGTCTTCCTGTTAAGAATTTAACACCATGCCAACATCTGTTGGGGTTTCTGAAATTTTGGTTGAAAGTGGGAGAAAATAGTTCTCTCGTGAACATGGCACAATTCTGGGGTTAAAACTATGGGCAAAAGTCAAATCTTCTGTCTTTTCATAATATTTTTTTAGTTTTTTTTCTTGCACTAACAATTGAATAAAAGATGTCAAAAGTCTTCTTAACTCTTGTTGGGTTTGAGACAATAAAATAGTGTCATCCCTCAAACAGCGCCTCAGCTGTCAAGAATTAAGGGACACTTTTTAGGACATCTTTGGAAATTAGGAACTACATCCAGGTAACTGTGATGGCAAGCATTTGAAGAAGCCTTAAGGAGAAGGGCCATAGCTCAGTGGTAGAGCATCTGCTTTGCATGCAGAAGGTTACAGGTTCAACCCCCCAGCATCTCAAGGTAGGGCTGAGAATGTTTCAGATGAACACTGAAAAGCTACTACCAGTCAATGTAGGTTGCACTGAACTAGATGGACCAATGGTCTTACTTGATATAAGGCAGGTTCTTGTGTTCCTAATGGAAGAGTGCCGATTTATGTTTTTTACTGCTATGTGTCACAATTATTAATACTGGGGGGCAGGCAGGCTTGTGAAAAAGTGTCCTTGCTTAAATATGAGCGAGAGACTTAACTAAACCATGCTAAGTGACTATCTTACGGAGACTTAAAACAACCTGATTTAAGCAAAGCATGTCACAATTCTAGACACATTACACAGAAATAAATGATTTCAATATCCAAAGTGGCAGATAGCACCTGACCATTGAACTCAAATGTTTTAGGAGAAGATACCATGGAAGAATGAAAAATCTATTTTTTTACCTTCCCCTCCCCAACAATGCAAACTTCCCTAGCAATTCCCTTTTCAATCTTTTGTCATATAAGCAGTAGCAAGCGAATAAGAATCACAACATAACAAGATACTAGATGCTGGTACCACACCTCTGTTAGATTCCGGCTCATCAAGATTAATAAACAAATCATCCCCGGAACACAGCCTAGGCTTGATTGTCAGGTCTACTCCCAGCTCCCGAAGCCGATCCAGCTTGGACTTCTTTGTTTTTTCAGCAGGAGCTAACAACACTGCTTCCTGTGGCTGCACAATGTCTTTGGGCTTTCCACCCAGTTCTGAAGATTGCTCCTCCACTTGCTCAAGTAAGTTTTCTTCCACTTCATTCTCTACTGATTTGATGCATTCTGCAGGGATTTGATCAAGCTTTTCTTGCTTTCCAGAACTCAGCTCCTCCTTAAGGCACTCAATTTTTAAATCACTGCCCTGTTCATTTTCCTCAAAACAATGTTTTGCCAAATTTCCCACTTCCCCAGTAGAAGTTTCATCTGTGCTGGCAGAAGCAGGGTTCAAGGGGGCCGAAGATTGCAGATCAAGCCCTGCTGCCAATACTCTCCCTGCTGGTTGGTTAAATTGTCTTCTCCAACTCTCACTGCAATCGATACCTGGGTTCTTTGGAACAGCACTTTCTTCATCCAGACTGGGCTGATATTTAGTTGATCTGTTGGGGGGGAGGGGAATACAAGTTAGATCACTACCAATCTTAAACTTGTTCATTTCAGAAAATGAAGAAATCAGGCTAAGGGCAGAATGCAGTATTTTGCCTATTTATCCTTGAATAAAGGGAGGGGGGAGAGAATTATTGAAGAATGATTACAGTTTTCTGCCAATAGCTAGACACAGTAATGTGCACAGTGCCTTCTCATGTGGGGCAGGAGAGTTAAAGTGTGCAACATGTTCTACTGATGTTCATTTTGTTTTAGCCCATTTTGAGTCAATTCAATATAATCATAATGAAAATAAACAATCTCCCAATTTTTGAAAAGGAAGCAGTCCCTTTCATCAGTGCCCAGTACAAGCAGAGAGGAAGGAGGGGCTTGTGTGCTAAGGAAGAGACTCATCACTGCCCAATCTCAGACTAGCAGGCTGTCATAGCATCTCACTTTTTGGAAAGGAGCTGGACCTGCTGGTATTAAGAGAAGTCAGGATAGGCAAGTGTACATAGGATCCATTTCCCCATCTCTTCATTGCAAGGCAAATGTATTTTTTATCTTGTGAACTGGCCTGAGATCTTCAGATGAAGGGGGTATATCAATTTAAGCCTCTCCTTTTTATTCCACGCAATAATCTCTACATGTTTCCACAGGATTACAAAATAGATACTGTACAAGGGTTGGTTGGAGGCATTCACTCATTGCAGCATATGAAATGAATTAGCTCTCTCTAACTTGGAGTAAATAATAGTTTTGTACATGAAAACACCCTCAGTTAGATCTCAGAGTATAAATGGCACACTTTTAGTAAGAGATGTCAGTTGCGTACTCAGTGCTAAACATAAAATTAGAATTTAGCCCCAAGAATTACAAAAAAAATAATCCTGTATAAATTATGTAAACTGGGGAATTACACAAGTTTGTTTATTTTGCACAATATATTTGGATTTTGCTAGTCAATGGGAAAAGCTTGAACTGGGCAGCATGTTGTAACCCTGAACTTGACCTCTGGAAAATCTTAATCACCCTTCTGGCTTCTGAAAACTGAGCAGGCATATTTTCAGAGCTATGCAGCCTTGAAACTTTTTTATTTTAATGAAACCCAGAGTTTCTAAGAAGATTAATTCTGTTAAAATCCTGGGAAATCTTTTTAATCTCTAAAACATTTTATATCTACTTTTTTTTTTAATTTTTACTATTGCTATGATAATTGCTTTTGTTTCTAATGTTTTTGATCTGTTTTATATTTGTTTTATGATTCTTTTGTAAGCTATCTTGAAAAACTAGATTAAGGAAATTATGATTTTAAAAAGATGAATTCTGCATCCAGTCCTATTCTATAACAACACTATTGCAACACCTAGAGATGCCTGTATCATGAAAAGGAACAAGTTAGCAGCAAGCTTGACTTACTTTAGCAAAGCCATAGCACTTCCCTGGAAGGCAGGACGAGGTTTGCGCTTGAAGAATTCATGGACACTTTTGGCTTCTGGTAGGTGGTATGGGAGAGGGATGCTGGCTTCTACCAGAAAAGAAACAAAGGGATTAAACTGGTCTGTGTGGATACAATGAAGGAAAGTTTTGAATAGTATGGCCTTGGTTTAACTTTTAATGATAAAAACACAAAAATCTTAAAAGGAACATATGAAGCTGTTTTATACGAAGTCAGACCATTGCTCTAGCAAGCACAGTAAGGTAAAGGTAAAGGGACCCCTGACCGTTAGGTCCAGTCGTGACCGACTCTGGGGTTGCGGTGCTCATCTCACTTTATTGGTTGAGGGAGCCGGTGTACAACTTCCAGGTCATGTAGCCAGTATGACTTAGCTGCTTCTGGCGAACCAGAGAAGCACACGGAAACGCTGTTACCTTCCCGCCGGAGCAGTACCTATTTATCTACTTGAACTTTGATGTACTTTCGAACTGCTAGGTTGGCAGGAGCAGGGACCGAGCAATGGGAGCTCACCCCGTCGCGGGGATTCGAACCGCCGACCTTCTGAATGGCAAGCCCTAGGCTCAGTGGTTTAACCCACAGCGCCACCAGCATCCCAGCAAGCACAGTACTGCCTAGCAAATGAATCTCCAAGGTCTGTGGCAAAGATAGGTCCACATTCTGTTGACAGTTCCTTTAAGGTGTTTTTAAAGTGGGCGATACCAGAGTTTAATAGAACCTGGAACCTTCTACATGCATACAGAATCTTGCAAAATGTTTTGAAATCTTACCTCTGACAAGCCGCTGAGTCTCGCTGTGCAACTGTTTGATGGCTTCCTTACCCAGCTTGGCTGCCTTCCGCTCCTTAACAAAAATGAAAAGACAGCTTTGAACAAACATGTGGCTTAGACACAATTAAAAGTTAGGCATACTCAGGATGGAAGATGAGGTGCTGTTAAGTACCATACAAAAAAGTGAGATAGAAACAAAACTAAAAGTGAATAGGTGTGGGTGTCATTTTTAGGTTCCTTCAATAGACGTTCCTCATATTCATCCATCTTGTTTGTCGTGTTCACTCTCAGAACCAGTATTGGTGGGAGAGGCAATTAAATTTAACATGCCAAAAGAAACTTTTGTACAGAGTATTGCTTAAAGAAATACCAAATATTTATCCAAATATTTATTTCTGGGGTTTCGTGGTGTTTGCTGCAGATCCCTACCGATTTCTGTCTAGCACACTGGGACGCTGTGCTTTGAAGGTGCTCCAGTGCAGTACTTTTGGAATCTTCCTATAACCCTCTCCACTTGAATTCCACAAATGTGGCACCACTTTAAAGGCTCTGCCTCTGGTCACCACCCAACTAGAATTTGGGATCATCCAGTAAAACTGATTGGCAATAAGTTCAGGTAAACAAAAACAAATACTTTGTATGGTTTCCTTGGATGGTTTAGCATTACTCACCTTCCGTTTTTTCACTTTCTCTTTCCCTGCAGCTTTTATCAACTCTAGAGACTCTTCATCTTGAAGAAGGGGATCCTCTTCCTCTAAGCCATTCTCAAAGAGGTCTTTATCAGCCAGCAGACACCCACTGTCATTGAAAGAAGACCTCTCACTATCCTCCTGGCCCAAGAAAGGTAGAATATAGGAAACAGTTAGCAGTTGCTACCTCCCCCTCTTTCCTATATAAATAAAAAGGAAATAAATTTTTCCAACTGCATACTATAAGTTCACAGTAAAGCCAACCACAGGCAACCACCCTCCACTCACATGGAAGTTACACTTCGGGGCCCCACACACATAGCAGAAAATCATGTACGTGGGAAGCACCTGTTTTTTCCTGCTCTCCAGCTCTCTCTTCAATCCAAACCAAATATCTAGAGTTGAAGCTCTGGAGCCTGCTGGAGGTAGCTTTGGAAAGGGGCTGCTACTGCTACTGCAGGGAGACTAAGCAACCTAAACAAAGCCCTGCTGAGCCTCTCTTCAGGGCTTCCTCCACCCTCACTGACATCTTCTTTAGGATCCAGAGATGTTTCCCTTTAAGCCATGAAGACTCTCTCTTCTGTCATTTCCTGGTATGATTCCGTTTTATTTTATTATTTTATTTATTTCCCGGTACCACATGTATACGTGATCACGCGTGAGTCGATTGCACGTAAAAGTGGGGAGATGCCTGTAGTGCAAGGCCCCATGCTATACCATGCACCACAGTAGAAGTGGGGCATCTCTGGCCCTCCAGATACTATTGGAATACAACTCTCATCATTCCTGACAACCAGTCACACTGGCTGAGGCTGATAGAAGCAAAAAGTACAAAAACATCTGTAGCCCCCACATGCTTCCCATCCTATTTGCATTCAAACCCTGACCCAGTTTAGACAAACAACTTAACATGCAATAAAACTGTCTCTGGCCTGTACTGCTTCACACTGAGCAAAGGATTATATGTTGTGGGTAAGCATTCAATCAATGTTTATACATGGAAAATCTGCACATCAAAAGAAGCCTACATTAGATTACTCCTACCCATCACATTTTCTATATAAAAGTGGTGCTGTGCATGATATAAGATTTTTTTAGAACAGAGGGGAACATTCAATTATGCAATGGCCATCTGTCCTCTAAAGTGACATGAAAACAAGAACAGTTGCATGGTGAGCTACTTATCTAGACTGTGCCTTATTCTCTCCTGTTGTAGCAGCAAGTTGGACTACCATACCATAATGCTATAGCTGACATTTCAGTTTAACAATGCAGCTTGTGAGACACTTGTGTACATGCCAGTCAATGCAACATGAGGCATGAATCACAAAATGTAAATACATCACTTGGCATTAGACTGGGCTTTACCTTGGGTGCACACAATTATTCCATCAAAGCCCAATCCCTTAAAATGTTCTTCTCATTCCCATCATACCTTCCCTTCTTCTGCCTCTCCTTTCTTTATGAGATCTCTAATAGCTTTCATTTTTTTCTCTTTCTCCTTCCTCCTTTTCCTTGGGGCACCCTTTTCTTTTTCAATAATTTCCTTCATACAATGAATTCTGTGGTTCTTGTGCTTTTTCCCAGAGTTCTCCAACTTATGTTCAGGCAAGCCAAGCTCTGGATACATTCCAAGGTTCTTATTATGGAACAAGTTGTCCACTTCATCATCATCACTGTCTTGCAGAGCCTTGCAGATTAGGTTGGATTTCTTCTCCTTAGTAGCAAATGTATCACCATTTTCCTTCATGCTTTCCATATCCCCAGTTGCAGCCTCCGATTTCTCAGGAGCCAGGTCTTCTCTTTCACTGTCACTGTCTGGGAGGATCTTCTTACATTTTACTCTCTTACTCACATATATCTCTTCATCAGAATCTGTCAAAAATGTAAGTTTCACATATTTATGGCATGCACCCCTTTTTTAAACACACACATATTTTAAAAGCAGTTAAACTTATTTCTTACCCTCTTTTCCTCACTTGAAATATTGCAGATTCAGTTACATACTGCAGTTAAAGATAGGCGACGCTGAATTCAATGTAATTTAATTGAACTTTATTGTGCAATTTAGCTCCTGTAGGCTCTATTTCCCCCCTGCTATGGTAGCATTCCACAAACTACTACAGCTTATAGGAGTGTAAGGACCAGGTGTGTGCATGTAGTTATTTCCTTCTTAAATCGGCTTCAGCAAGCCTTGTTATGTTTTGGCTTTAATGTTCAGTTCTATTGTTTGCCACTTTAGAAAATACTAAGAATTTTTTTTATTTTTTAAAATCAGTTTCAGGAAAGCAGTCCCAATATCAAAATGGCTTTCAAAACTTTGTGGGAGAGAGGGGTAGGCAGGGAGGTGTCAGATATGCATGGAGGGGCTCCTATGAAAAATGGATTAACTTACTGCGTGCATGATGTTGGGTAAATTATATATGTGTCACACCTATATATGTTAGATATATTTACTGTTGTATAGGACATTTCTTTGAAATAATGCAATGACCTCTGTAATGCCCTTTTGTTTTTAAAGACAGTAAATTACTGACCTTCATCATCAACAGATGCAACTCCTTTGTTTATCTGTGCTGGAGAGGTCATTTCACAGCTTCCCTGTCCGCTGTCTGAATCACTGTCAGACGCTTCCTGAGATTTCAGATCCTCGACATCCAACAGAATCTGTAAGCCACATACATTTGTAAGTATGACAAAAGAGACAAACACATGTAAATGTTTTGATAATGGATTTTTAAAATAGAAGCCAACTCCAGCACCATTCACCTCCCAACTGCAAAGAAAATGACATTGGGCCCTTAGAAGCAGAGTTCTTCAGGGTTCCATTGTCTAATGTCTGCATGGCAAGATTGCCCAGAGAGTGAGTCTGGCATGATTAACACAACAGTGACATGCTTCTCATTTAAAAATCAAAACCAGAAACTGCTGCATGGAACATTTATCAAACTCAGCACGCTTTACAGACTGCACAGTAGAAGTTCCCACGCATGTAAGTTGCACAGTAGTGGAAGGATCAAAGTTATACAAGGCAGGCATGGGAGAGAGCTCACTGGGTGACCGTGGGCCAGTCACTACCTCTCAGCCTAACCTACCTCACAGGGTTGTTGAGGGGAATTAAACGAGGTGGGGGTAGGACCATGGATGAAAATGTGGGATATTAAGGCAATGAATGAATAACAAAACAAAACAAATTAAAAGCACATATACACAAGTCTGAAACGGTAGCACTGCATTCCCCCTCCGAGGACCATACAGTATTCCAAAGACACTGAGGGGCCCCCAGGACACCCGAGGTTAGCCGCAATGTATGCTGGGAGTTGTAGTTCTTGATCCCTTAGGTGGTTCCCGCGGGGCCGCCGACAGCCGCCAAGGCAAATGTCCTCCGTCTTCCCCTCGCACCGCCAGCCGCTGACTGGAGGCAGTTTCCAGGCGCCAGCCAAACCTACACTGGACTCACCTCAGTCGCCGCCGCCGCCATGGCGCCCGACGCCGACGAGCGAAAAGCGCCAAAGCCTCCCTCGCGCCTCCGAATTCGAGTCTTCCCGCTCTTGCTGAGAGTTTGCCCCCCGCTCCTCAGACCTTAGCCAATCGCAACCTGCCTCCGCCCATACGCTGGTTGTCATACTGGCACGAACCAATTAAGAGGCAGGATTTCCTCCGCGGCACTGCCCCCACGTAGCCTGCGTTAACCCCTCTCCCTTCGCGTCGCAGAAGGAACATAGAGATAAAATACTGCAGAATGGCCAAATTATGAAAACAAGGCACTTCCCTGTCCCCCCTTTTTTCTTTCTTTCTTTCTTTCCTGCGGGGTTTTCTCTCCAGCCCACAAGAAGTAAAAGAGCGCGCGTGGGGTGGTGGGGGTGGAATATCCATACTGCAGATGCGTGGTGTTTGTCGCGAAAATGGCTAACCACAACCCTGCAGTTTAGTTCACTGTCATGTGCGGGGGAGGACTGAGAGCGTAGCATGCAACAGCTGCACAAGCAACAACCCCGCAATATAGTACAGTGTTAAAATATTGTTGCTGTTATTGTTTTTAATTTAATATAGCAAAAAAGCTACTTAAATCTACCCCTTTCAACACAAAAAACCACCCACTCAGACCTCAACAGTACTGTACTCAGAAGCGCTGTGTCCTGATGCACACATTGATGCTCCCTTTGTGCATCAATATAGGTTGCATTTTCAGATGTTTAAAACTCCACTCTGCACATCACTTTTTCCACATAAAAATAAAACTTGAGTGTGAAACGGCGTGAAATGCTGTTAACTTCGCTGTTAGGGTTTAATGCTGTTGCCTAATCGTAGTTATGCTAAAATAAACTATTTCTCCACTGATTTCTATGGGAAGCAATCGCTTCCTCAACAGTAGATACAAGCCTATGTCATGCCTGGATACGTAGCGTCCAGCCTCTCTGATGGTCTTATGCCATGTTCACTATAGCAATGAATCCTCCATGGGTTGTGCTTTCTCATCTAATGCTGGCTATACCTGGACCCTTTGTGGGCTCAGGGCCAGCTCAGGGTTTTTGTGGAACCCTTTCAGCTGCTTCTTCCTCTAATCACCTTTTCCTTTGCACTCACTCACCCTGCTCCTTAAAACTAAAACAAGTGTTTTAAATATGCAAGGGAAATGGTATTGTTTGACTACATACACTGTACAGGCACACTGCTAAAAAAGGTATGGGAGAGGGGAAGCATTTGACAAAAGCCTTGCTGGCTTGAATCCTAAACCAAAATTTGGCCAAACTTACCGTATTTTTCGCTGTATAAGACGCACCAGACCACAAGACGCACCTAGTTTTTGGAGGAGGAAAACAAGAAAAAAAATATTCTGAAACTCAGAAGCAAGAACAGCAAGAGGGATCCCTCTTGCTGTTCTGGCTTCTGTGATAGCTGACAGCCTGCATTCGCTCCATAAGAGGCACACACATTTCCCCTTACTTTTTAGGAGGGAAAAAGTGAGTCTTATAGAGCAAAAAATACGGTAATTTCTGCTTAGAGTAGACCTGTTTCAATTAATGGACCTAAGTTAGCTGTGTCCATTTACTGTACTTAACTAGGTCTGCTCTGAACAGAACTAGCACTGAATACAGCCCTAAAATTTTATTAATCTCTTAGTTTTGTCACATTTTTGCCCCTTTGCAGTTGCTGTTGTTTAAATTGTACTTTTGCAAATCTTGGTGGTTCCTCCCAAAACATCCTTCTCTCTCTTTTTCTCTGTGGCATTGTTTTGCCTCTACATCTGTTGACATTCAACCATCTGTCCTGAGTTTGCTATTAGAGGAAATGCTTATGATTATTATTAATTCATCTTATTCATCATATACCTGAAGTGGCCTCTATGCTATAAAGGTTTATGCCTCGAAAAGCTGCACACTGTATCCACAAGTGCATAGATTTGTACAGTAAATCTGCCAGGACTGTAGCCAACTAAGTTATACAGAGAATAGACTCACCAAAATCAATGGTGTTAAGCTAATAATGGCTCAAAGTGTCTCATCCCATTGGCAGTGAAAGGGGTGGTGCAATTTCAGTCAGGATTCACTAGGGCAGAGGTTTTCAACCTTTTTGTGTGCATGGCTCCCTTGACCAACTACATTCTTTCTGTGGCACCCCTGTGGGGCTCAGGAGCCCAGTTGTGTCACCCCTTGCCTGCACAGCTGGCAGCCTCTCACCCTTTTTCAAACACCCACCCTTGTGGAGTGTTCCCTCAGCCTCTTCTCTCCCCTCTCTTTGTGAGTCCTCCAGGCAGCTGCTGCTGCCACCCCTGGTCTCTGAGCTGCCCCCCACCCCGAGAGAGGTGCCTCTCAGTGGCACCATTCACTTGTCGAGCTCTTAGCCAGGGCTGCTGCAATAAACAGCTGTGCAAGCCTTTGGGAGGCAGTGATGCAAGAGAGCATCAGAGGAGGGAGGGAAAGAAAGAGGTACAGAGGCCAGTGTTGCCCTTGGCACCCCTGACTATCATTCAAGGCACCCCAGGGTGCCACAGCACAATGGTTGGAAACCAATGCACTAGGGAGTGAGCCCTGAGATCTATCTGCAATGCCAGGAACATAGGCCTAATACTGCTTTTTGATGCATTTTCCCTCAAACCAGCTCTCATCCAATTTAAAATCACAAGCCACTGTTAAGCTGAGACGCATACAGCTGCTCTGCATGTGCAAATGGCAGAGCATGCACAGATGAAGGCTTCCTCAAACAGGAATGGGGTGCAGGATTGCAGGAAAACAAATTGGATAATGTTTATCAGATCAGGTGAAGACATAGCAAGTACAAATGTAATTTAAAACTCAGCAGGGCCAGTGGGGAGCAGTGTGTGGACCTCTAGTAAGTACAGTAATGCATTTGCCTGGCCCAGGATTGGATCAAAGTTTCAGGAAACCTCCCCAGGAGGAACTACCATCTGATTGGCCTGGCCTGGGCTATTTAGTGCTAAAGGGGGGGGGATAATAATAAATAAGATGATATACTAATTAATTCCAAACCTAGACATATCTGCTCAGAAAGATTAAAAATCTTTATTTAACAATATTAAAAACAATTATTAAACAATATTTAACAAACATCTCTTGGAAGAAAAATTGATTATTATTATTATTTGTTAATTTATGCACTACAAAATATCAAGAAAAGGTGTAAAAACACACACACCTCTAAACACCTATACTAAGCTGGCCCTGAAAAAGATGACACCTTTATAGTGTGAGTGCAGTCCAAGATTTACGAAGTATTTTGTACACTGAAAAAATACATGTAAATAATAGCCATCTGCATTATTGCTATTATTTATTTATACAAAAACTGAAATAAGAACTGGCTACACCAAACCAGAGAAGCACAATGATTTCTGTTAAGTTGTGGGTGAACATATCAGACAACACAGCGAGTTCAAACAGCTCTTGTTTATTCACAGGCCAGAACAGAACTGAACTGAAGGGTTCAGCCAGCCTGCTTATATAGAGCTCCACTAGAACGCAACAGTAACCATTTTCTGTAACTATCCAATCACTGAACGTCACTTTTGATCCCTTATTTGCATATATGGACCTGAACTATCTACAGTATCCCCCTGCTGGCCCAGGGTGAGAACTTCAGTACATAACAATTTCCACTTGCTAGTATCTTTTTGACATGACCATGATTAGCAGAAGATGACAGATGTCTCAAAGGGCAGCCTTCCCCAACTGCATACCCTCCAGAAGTTTTGGACTACAACTCCCATTAGACTCAGGCAGTATTCCCAATGACCAGGGATTATATGACTTGCAGTCCCTTCCCCACCCCCCAAAAAGTGGGGAGAGAGAGAGAGAGAATGAAGTTAGGCAAGAGAATAAAAAGAGGGATAGAGTCTCCCACACAGATATTAGCAGTAGGGGATAAAATGTGCTGAATCCTTTCTCTCTCTTTTGAGGGAAATTATGTGTTCTAAGAGTGGTTTGGGAAGGGGCATGGAGAATGAGAAGGGGTCAGCTACAGAGGGAAAGAAACAGGTGTTCATTGGACTCGTGGGTGAAGTTTCCTGTTGTTTAGGTGTGGTGCTTTTGCTGAAATAGGTATAGGACATGGGGTAGTCTGCTTCCCTACATCCATACCACCAACATTTAATCCACAGTTATTTCCCTAAGAGAGGTGAGGGGGTGAAGAATTGTTTGTATATATTTCTGAGGGATCTCCTTACAATACACTTGTCCATTCACTCTGGTCATCCACGGGGACCCTCACTGCAGTGCTGCATGTGCCGTACACTCAGTCTATGGTAGTCTGGATCAGGTCCTCTAGCTCAGTGGCACTTGACCTATGGAAGATTCCACCCACTGAGGTCAGACATGCACCAACCCTGTTTAGATTTTGGTGGACGCTAAAAACCTCGTTCCGTCAGTCTTTCCCCAAAAGCAATTTGTGGGCAATTTTGATGCTTTCTGATAATTATGTATCTTATTTTTATCTGCTTTTATTTTTTATTATTGTACACCACTATGTTATTTAGTGGTTATTTACTCTCATAATAAATAAAATAAATAAATATAATCCTGGGTAACACTTCTGCAGCATCTTAGGCAATGAAAATCCTACGCCTGCACAACATAATCTGTCAACTGGCTGCTTGTGCCACTGACAAGTAATAGCACGCTTGCTGCTACAAATATCAACCATATTTTGGTGCATTTGGGCACACCCTAATTTATTTTTATAGCCATGTGCCAAATTGGTTATGAATTCTCCTAATGTGCCAAGTTGGAACATATAAAGCCAGTGGCATTGCCCTGACCTCAAAACCAAGGTCTGTGATGGGAATTGGATCCTTTAGCAGATTTCCATGTTGCCAATGACCCCGATGAGTCATCAGGCCTGTGTTGATTCAAGTAAAAAATAGGTATAAAAATGAGTCTGGGGCAAGTACTCTTTGGTTACAAAAGCCCCAGCAGAGATATAAAATCACAAAATATGCAGCAAAGTAAAGACTGGAAATATTGGCCGTTGAGACCTTTGTCAGGACAATATTTCAGATTATGGATGTTG